ACATTGTTTGTATCTTGTGCTGATCTGTCTATTTTTTTTAATGGTAGAATATGGTAGTTATTGCAAGACCACTTGGTGAATCAATTGTTCGCCCTTGACATCACGTGGATGTGTCCATGTAATCACAGTAATCTATTATACAGAGTCTTGCTCTTCAAATTTAGGGAAATTGTACCAATATTTGGCTATCATGTGGTGTATTACTGTATGTGCATTAAAGTATTTGAATCCAGATGTCTAATTTGTAGGTAGTTTAAAGCGTGTGGAAGAATTTGTCATGCGAGTACCAATATGCTTTACAGAAATGATGGCATACAAGTTGACCTTTGAATCCTTCAAAAATGGGGGTCCACTTAAGTGTTGAGTATAAAAGTAAATCACTAGTGTGAGTTGTTACCATCTTTGCCATTTACCATGTGGGATCCGCTCAATGCAGCGTATCTTAAATTCTTATGTATCTTCATACCACAGCCTGTTTCGTCTCTGATTCTTTGAGCTCTGTTACAACGTATAGGAAGTAAAGCAGCTATTTGTGACATGAAAAATTGAGGCTCACAACTAATGCAAATACCATGTCATGGCTAAAGGGCAATAATCCTGGATGCCAAATGTGTACAAAGTTGTGATTTTATTTGGACCAAATCAAATGAGGCCATCTTATTTTCCATTGTAGCCATTGTGAAACTAAAAATAATAGTTTGTGATGTTTTATTGTTTGTAAAATTACTTGTTTCGTTTCAATGATGTGAGTTACATTACACAAACCACGGAAAATAGTTTATTTAATTACTTTGTAATCTCCCTATGGCTATAGCATGTTTGCTTTGCTGAACTGTATTGCCATCAGCGGCTGTTAGGCTTAGAAGGAAGGATGGTGCAAGGTTGTAGTTCTTTCACTGCCTTTCGTTGTCTTGTATTTCAAATACAGATTATATCTGTAGGGAATTGATTTAACATGGTTTATTTAGGTTTTCCTTGTTTGGAGATGTTCACTGATAGATTCTGTTTTGTTCCTAATTTATGTAACTGTTGCATCCAGTTAATGTAGTTTGATGTCCATAGTATTGCTTCAACAATCTGGCACAGACTCCAAAGATGAGTAGTCAATCACTATCTGTTTGTTTACTTTGGGATGTGTTTGCTTTTCTAAGAGTCTGACAGTCTCTTGCTTCATGGGGCAACCTCAATTAACCCTGCTGGAGAGGACATAACTGACCTGTTTGAGCATTTGTGGGTTGTTTTGTGAGAAAACTTGTCGACTAATTTGAGCGTAGATAACATTTCTGATGTTTCATTGATTATAGTTACAGTTTACTAAGTTGTAAAGGTGCTTTAGTCAGAAACTGCTGCCGTTTTTAGTAATAGAGGCTTCATATTTATATTCTATGTGAAAGATTAGTTAATTTATTTGTTATAAAGGTCTAGATGACATGGCAGACAAATGCATTTCCATTGGTATTGTTGATCAGGCTAAAACTTAGAATCATTTATAGAGTATTGAGAAACATTTTGGATTTGAAACAGGCTTAAATATATTAAATATTGAAAAGAACTACATGAGAAAGGACCATGAATTCAGGTTTAAGTTTTGCATTCGTTTGGAAGCGATCTAATCAAGTTTGAAGAGTGTGTGCATTCTATTCTTCAGCATTTCATTTAATCAAGGATGTACAAATCACTTTAGGTTTGAGTGATTGGTGTTGCTGCTCAATTTGTTGATACATCTCAGCAATGTTAATTGTGTATCAAGTTGCTCAACAATACCATTTGTACCACAGATTTATATTCCAGTTTGTAACTCACTCCAGTACAGTGTATGCTGGAAAGCATAAACTGTTGATCTTTGAGCCAAAAATCTTTAACAAATTGTACTTGAAGAATTCAGTTGTACTTAACTGGCAAGTGAAGTTCAGGGGAATGTTGCTTAATTTCCTATTCATGATCTGAAATCAAATATCTCTGTGTTTATGGGTATTGCAGTGACTTCATTGATGGGTAAAGGCAAAAACTTGCATTACACCGGCTATAATTTTCCAAACCTCCACAGACTTAGGTCACCGCAGAGGATGTTATACCCTTGTTGGAAAGAAGAAATAAACATAAGCCCAATCAGTTTAACCTTGATGGTGGGGAGAGTTTTTGAAACAATAGTTGTGGACAAAATTAAGTCCCCTGGGTTGATATGGTTAACTAAATTAAGCCAGCCTGCACTTGTTAAGGGCAACTCGTTTAACTAACTTGAATTTTTTGAGATAATGGAGAGAGTTGAGGAAGGTACTTCTGTTGATCTTACAAGGCCCTTCAAAAGGCATTGACACAACAAATTTATGAGTTAATTTAGAACTTTTGGAATAAATAAGACATTAGCAACATGAGCACAAAATTGTCTCAGTGACAAGAATTAGAGTAGTGGAGAATAGTAGTTTTTCAGACTGGATGAACATTTATAATGGAGTTCCGCAGGAAATGGTGTTAAAACCATCATTCTTCCTGACTTTTTGTCATGATCTAGACCTGATATGCAGGGCACGATTTCAAAATTTGTGGATGGTATGAGACTTGGAAAGAGTGCAAACCATGAAAAGAATAATGGAAAACTACAAAAGGATGTAAGGAAAAGGTTCTGAGATTATTGGAATGGAGAGACAAGCAGCAAATTAAGTTTAATTCTGAGACCCGAGACATGATTTATTCTGGTAGGAAGAATGTAGAAATACAGTACAAAATAGAATGAGGTGTGGAAACGGAAGGACGTGGGTGCATTCTCACATGAATTATTAAAGGCAGCAAGGCAAGTTGAAAATGTGGTTTATAAAGCATGTAGTATCCTGGATTGTCAGTTGGGGCATAGAATACAAAAGCAAGAAAGTTAGGTTAAACAATGGTTTACCCTCACCTGGAGTCTAATTCTGGAGATCATACTTCAGGAAGGACACTAGAAAGGGCGAACTAAAGAGTTATGAGAGTTGTTCTCGGAAAGAGAAATTTCAGTGACGTGGACAGTTGGAGAAGTTGGGGCAATACATCTTGGTGAAGAGAGGTTTGAGAGGAGATTTGATAGGGCTATTCAAAATCATGAGGGATCTGGTTGAAATTGATGAGAAACTGTTTCCGTTAGTAAAAGGTTCGCGACCAATAGATTGAAGGTAATTGCCAAAAGAAACAATAGTGACATCAGGAAAACTTTTACACAAAGGCAGCTAGGATCTGGAATGCACTGTCTGGGAGTGTGGTGGAGATGGTTTCAATCAAGTCTTTCAGAAGGGAAATGGATCATTATCTGCACCAGAAGAATTTGCAGGGCTGCTGGGAAAAGGCTGCTAAGTGGCACTAGGTCCATCAGTTCTTCAGAGGACCAGATGGGCCAAATAGCTACATCCTGTGCTATAAGAATTCTGTGGTACTATGTTTACATCACACCTCTTCTCTAGCAATACACTCATGAATTCAGCCCAGAGGCAGAATCAAACAAAAGTTTAAACTAAGTCAAATTATTGTCTGTTTGGAAGAATTTCTTGAAATGTGGTCAAAGAAGTATGTTTTAAGGAGAGTCTTGGAGAAAAAAGAGAAAGGGAGACTGAAATTTAAGGAAAGAATTTCAGAGCTTAACTCCGACCAGAGTTGGAACAATGATAAATTTGTTAAGGGCAGATGTTATAGGGCTGGAGGAGGATACCTCGATGAAAAGCGACATTGCCCAAAGGGATTTGATTAGAAAGATGAGAATTTGAAGACCGGCCATGAGAGCAATGGTATGATGGAATTTGGGAATGACAAAGGCATGCACACTATTTCATCAGCAGATGTACTGAGTTAAGACTGGGATTCGTGATTTCGTCGTGATGGAATTCCAACATCTGTGATAGGAGATGCTATGAGATTACAGACTGTATTGTCATCGGCTACCGAGATTGTGAACACTGGGTGAAGTTGGACATGGAATTGGAGGTGCAAGTACAGAATTTGTAGTGGAAGTACTGCAGACTGTGACTTCGATCTTTTCCATATTTAACTGGAGGAAACACCATTGATTCTGAATGTAAAACAATTAGTCAAATAACAGTGAGGGTTGGTGGGTGGGTGGATGGAGCTGGGTGTTATCCATGCAAGTGAGTTAGAAGAGTGAACCAAGGATGGATTCCTGGGAGACTGTTTGTGACCTGGATTGACTGTCAAATTTAATGGGTACCATAACTTGAAACTGCTCTAGGGCTATTCAAGTATAAAAAATGCACGTTGTCACATTGTTAAATTATACATTAAGTTGACAACTTGTGCCAAATGTTATTCAATTTAGCACTTCGTGGTCTGACAACATGGAGGTTATATCCAGTAAAATGCTACACAAACATAAATATAATAGAGCTGGGTGAACAGCTACTTAAACTTGGGCTTGAAATAGATTAATTATGTTATTTTTTGTACTGTGCAGTTCACTGGGATGTTTTTTATCATCATGGTGCTGTATAAGTATAAAATGTTCGTGATCTGGATGATTAGTTACTGTACAAATTGATCCTGCTTGGGATCATGGGAATGTTATTGTGGAATTTAACCGTTTTGAATTACATCATGAAGACCTTAGTGCACTGGAGTTTTTAGTGCACTATCTTGTGTCTGTCATGGGGACAGCCGTAATTTATATGGCCATGTGTCATGATCTGAATTTTGGAAAATGAATCATTGTGGTTCATTTGAGGCAGCGCATTTTCATTTTAATTAGCTGAATACTGAATTGCAGCGATTCCAGATGTTTAATAGAATGTTTAGACATATGCATTGTGATATAGATGAGAACAGCCCTTCATGTAGTTACAAATTGGTGTAAGCAGCCAGACAAAAAAAATCAACAGAAATGATTTCTTTGCACTTACTGAAGACAGAAACTTTTAATCAAGTTCAGTTTAAGTGTTGTGTAATGTGCCCATAACTGTGTGTAAATGTTTCAGTTGTTGACAATGTTCCCTTGGTGTGGCTTATCTAGATTTGTTGTTTTGCAGGATGATCATGAGAGCTGTGGCTCCAGTTCAACCAACCGCAGCACTACAGAGAGCATAAAGTCATTAGCTAAAACCCGTCGCATCCAACAAGTGACCTCAGCTGACCCTGACTTACCCCCAGGTGAGTGACGAATGTGACTGGGTAGAGAGGTATTTGAAGTGTTTCTGTTGTGTGCATATTTAAATAAAGACATGTAATCATTCATAATCACAAAGTATTGACAGGAATTAATGCAATGATAATCTTATGTTGATGAAAGCTAACTCTTTGATGTACTACAGACTTAAATTTTCACACATATTTGTTGAGTTGAGTCTACGACAGGCGAGGAGTGTTTACCCAATGTCTGTTGAATACAAGCTTATCTTCCTTGAATCTTGCTTCTGCTCTCTGCTCTGAACTGAATAACAAACTTAATGGACAAAGAATTTGTTCACAGCTAGTTGTTATTCCTGATGGCTGGCCTTTGATTTGAGGATGATGTCTATTCTGTCATGAATTTCTACTCTGGGTCTTAATATTATTGAATAGGCCAATTCTTGACCAGTATATCTTCAGGCATGTGGGTGGAATCTTGGCTTAACATAGGTCTTACTCACTTGATATCGAACGTAGTCAGTGATGTAGGCTTATGAATCTTAAGAGTGTGAGGTTAGACTTGTATAGAGAATTCCCTGTTGGCTATGTGCCTGATTGAGATAGTAGTGCAGCATTGTTTCATAAATACAATTTACCAATTAAACATAATTGTATCGTCATTCAAAATTGTGCGTCAATGCTGCAATCTATAAAACAGTTCGTCATCAGATTTGTCACACTGAAGCAGATATTTTTGAGTTCTTTCAGTGATTGATACACTTTGTGTCCCATATTAGTGTGGCTTTCTTGTTCTGATACAAAATTTAAAGCAGCAAGGATGTAATTGAACAGCAGTTAGAACTAACTTAGCAGATGTAATGCATTTGTTTTAAGTTTTACAATACATTGGCAATAAAATCATCAACTGAAAAATGAGTTGGGTAGCATTTGTGACCTCATTGATAGGTTACATTTTATCTTTTACTTCTAAATACAAGCACATAAGCTAAAATGATCTTTTAATTTCTGCATACCAGAGGATAGTTGTAGTGCTGAAGGAAGAAATTCTGACACTCTGAATGAAAACCTAGTACCACTTTATCACCTTTTCCCCATAGTTCCGTATGTTCTTTCATTTCAGACAACTTCTGTTGAGTAGCTCAATTGAACCTGCCTCCAACATGTTCTGAAGCAGTGTATTCCAGATCCTAATCATTTGCTGAATGAGTGAGTGTTTCCCTGTGTTGCATTGCTTCTTTTGTCAATTTTCTGAAATGGGTGCCTTCACATTTTTTTATCCCTTCATGAATGGGAGCAGCTTCTCTCCATCAGTCCAGTCTTCTTAGAGGTTACCTCTATTACATCTCCTCTCAATCATTTTGTCTCTAGGGAAAATAGCTGCAACTTCTCCAATCTTTTCATACCCTAATTCTGCATTCCTGGAATCATTTTTGTGAATCAGTTCTGCACCCTGGCAAATAGCTTCACATCCATTCCAAAATGTGGGGCTCTAAACTGGATTCAGTACTCAAGGTGACGCTGAACCGTTGTTTTAGATGAGTTCTCCAGTTCTATATGTGTATCTTCTGGTAGTTTTGAATTACAGACTGCCATTGGACACCTTTTCCTTTTTTTGACTCCTTTTTTTTGGGCAGCACAGTGGCACAGTGGTCAGCACTGCTGCCTCACAGCGCCAGGGACCCGGGTTCGAGTCCAGCCTCGGGCAACTGTCTGTGTGGAGTTTGCACATTCTCCCCGTGTCTGCGTGGGTTTCCTCCGGGTGCTCTGGTTTCCTCCCACAGTCCAAAGATGTGCAAGTTAGGTGGATTGGCCATGCTAAATTGCCCATAGTGTTCAGGGAGGTGTAGATTAGGTGGGTTATAGGGGGATGGGTCTGGGTGGGATGCTCCGAGGTTCGGTGTAGACTTGTTGGGCCGAAGGGCCTGTTTCCACACTGTAGGGATTCTATGATTCTACGACTATGGGACATAGGTTCACTGGCTGGCCAGCATTTATTGTCCATCCCTAGTTGCCCTTGAATAGGTGGTGGTGAGCTGCATTCTTGAATCGCTGCAGTAAACATTGTTTTAGATTGATCCACAATGTCCTACGAGAATTCTAGGGTTTTCACCCAATGGCAGTGAAGGAATGGCTTCATATACTTGACCTCATCCTTACCAATCTTCCGGCTGCAGATGCATCTGTCTATTTCAGTGTCGGTAAGATTGATCACCGCACAGTCCTTGCGGAGATGAGATGCGTTGAGAATGCCCTCCATCATGTTGTGCGACACTGTCATGGTGCTAAATGTGTTGGCTTTGAATAGCTCTAGTAACTCAAGACTGGGCATCCATGAGGCACTGTGGGCCATCGACAGCAGCAGAATTGTACTCCAGCACAATCTGCAAACTCATGACCCAGCGTAACCCCCATCAACCATTACCATCAAGTCTGGAGATCAAACCTGGTTCAATAGAGAGCCTGTCATCCTGGGAACAAGTCTGGTGAACCTTCATTTCACTCCCTTTGTGTCAATAATATTTTTCATGAGATAAGGAGACCAAAACTCTATGCAGTACTCCAAGCTCTTATGAAATTTAAGTCAGACTTCAATACTCCTATACTCGAATCCTCTTTCAATAAAGGCTGACATTTCCATTATCCTTCCTGATAGCTTGCTGCATCTGCAAGTTAACCTTCAGTGATGGTATGGCAAAGACACCTAGGTTCCTTTGTAAAAGGTGAAGTTGCCGTATTCCTACCCGACCATAGCGTTGCTGTCTTATCGGAGTGAGACAACTCGTGGTGGTTTAACCTGAAAGTCACCATACCTGAGGTGAGACGAGGACGTTGAGAAGGAGAGTTCTTCATAGTAACCTCAGTTAGTACAGGATTTGAACCCATGCTGTTGGTGTCACTCTGCATCGCAAACCAGTTGTTCAGCCAACTGAGCTTACCGACCCCCATACACATCTACACTTTCCAACCTCTTGCCACTTAAGAAACACTCAGCACATCTGTTTCTCCTACCAAAGTAGATAACCTCACATTTTTTCATATTATGTTCCACCCGCTGTATTCTTGCCCATTCACTAAGACTGTCCACTTCTTCCTAGGTTGCTTTAAATCTTTCCCACAACAAATTCTTGATTAGCTTTGCAACATCTGCAAATTTGGAAACATTACATTTGGTTCCCATCTCCATATCATTGATATATATTATGAACTGTTGCAAGCCAAGTACTGATCCTTGAGGTATCCCACCAGCCACATGGAGATAGCAAGAACTGCAGATGATGGAGTCAGAGTCAATACAGTGTGGACCTGGAGGAACACAGGTCAGGCCGCATCAGAGGAGCAGGAAAGTTGATGATGAAGGGTGTAAACCTGAAACATCGACATTCCTGCTCTTCTGATGCTGCCTGACGTACTGTATTCCTCCAGGTCCACACTATTGAATCCCACTAGTCACAGCCTGCTAATGCAAGAATAATACATTTATTCCTGTTCTGTTTTGGGCCTGATAGCTGATCATTAATCCATGCCAATATATTACCTCCTATCCCATGTGCTTGAAGTTTTCTAACTAACCTCCTGAGGGGTCTTTATCAGAAACCTTCAGAAAATATAAGTATGTTACACCCATTTGATTACCTTTATCAATTTATTAGTTGCATCTTCAAGAAACCTTCAACAAGTTTAGAACATAGAGAATAGAACCGTCCAGCACAGGAACCGACCCTTCGGCCCACAAAGTTGTGCTGAACATGACGAGAAATGAAACTCATCCCTTCTCCCTGCTCTTGGTCAATATCCCTCCATTCCGTGCATATTCATATGCTTACCTTAAAATCCCTTAAATGCCCTTATCATATCTGCCTTCACCACCATCCCTGGCAGTGCATTCCAGACTCCTACCACACTCTGTGTAAAAAACTTGCCACCCACATCTCCTTTGAATTATCCCGTTTCACCTTAAATGCATGCCCACTAGTATTAGATGTTTTGACTCTGGAGGAAAAAATTTCTGACCGTCAATTCTATCCGTGCATTTTATTATTTTATACAGTTCTATCAAGTCTTACCTCAGCTTTCGCTGCTCAAGAGAAAATAACCTGAGTTTTTTCTAGCCCTCCTTATAGCTCATACCTTCTAATCCGGGCAGCATCCCGGTAAACCTCTTCTGCACCCCATCCAAGCCTCCACATCCTTACTGTAAGGTGGTGACCAGAATTGAACACAATACTCTAACTGTGGCCTAAACAAAGTCTTATAAGGCTGCAACATGACACCCTGACTCTTGTCCTCAATTCCCCAATCAATAAGCATGCCATATGCCTTATAAAAACCGAAAGAACTGTGGATGCTGTAAATCAGGAATAAAAAACAAAGTTGCTGGAAAAACTCAGCAGGTCTGGCAGCATCTGTGAAGGAAAAAATAGTTAACGTTTTGGGTCCAGTGACCCACCTTCAGAACATGGTTCTGAGGAAGGGTCACTGGACCCAAAACGTTGACTATTTTTTTCTTCACAGATGCTACCAGACCTGCTGAGCTTTTCCAGCAACTTTGTTTTTTATGCCATATGCCTTCTTTACCACCCTATCTATTTATGTGGCCAGTTTCAGAGAGCTATGGACTTGAACCCCAAGATCCTTCTGTACATCAATGCTGTTCAGAATCCTGCCATTAACTGTTATACTTTTCCTTGACATTTGATATCCCAAAGTGCAACACCTGTCACTTACCCGGATTAAACTCTATCTGCAATTTCTCTGCCCATATCTGCAAATGATCTGTATCCAGCTGTATCTTTTGACAACCTCTTACACTATCCACAACTCCACCGATTTTTGTATCGTTTGCAAATTTATTAACCCACCCATCTACATTTTCATCTAAGTCATTTATATATATCACAAACATCAGAGGTCCCAGTACAGATTCCTGCGGAGCACCACTAGTCACGGATGTGCAGCCTGTAAAACACCCTTCAGCCACTACTCTCTGCTTTCTATGGGCAAGCCAATTCTGAATCCACAGC